AGGATTAACAGCAAGAAATAATACAAGGCTGGTCACTTTGACCGTTAATTGCACTAATTGGGACAAACGCTGACAGAAATCAATCGAATAACGCGAACTTCGGCTGTCGCATCGTCGCCAAATTACGTTACATCGGAAGAGCGATAATTTTTACATATTATACTTTTCTTTAACAGAATTTAACAATAATCTTCTTGCAGAAAATGCCAATTGAAACTTACAAATGTCTAATCTTCTGAGGTTTGTGATCGGTATGAATTCATGGCCTTCAAATTCGAATTACACGCTGCATTGTCATTGGTCGGCTTTCAAAACAACAACGGGACATTTCCGGTAAGAGAGCGAACGTTTGGGGAGTTAGCGAATGGCCTCTGCGAATGGCCTCTGCGAATGGCCTGTTGTTGTTTTGAAAGCCGACCAATGACAATGCAGCGTGTAATTCGAATTTGAAGGCCATGAATTCATACCGATCACAAACCTCGGAAGATTAGACATTTGTAAGTTTCAATTGGCATTTTCTGCAAGAAGATTATTGTTAAATTCTGTTAAAGAAAAGTATAATATGTAAAAATTATCGCTCTTCCGATGCAACGTAATTTGGCGACGATGCGACAGCCGAAGTTCGCGTTATTCGATTGATTTCTGTCAGCGTTTGTCCCAATTAGTGCAATTAACGGTCAAAGTGACCAGCCTTGTATTATTTCTTGCTGTTAATCCTTATGTCAACCCCAACTATGGCCGTTAACCTCTTGTCAACGCCAATCTTGGCCGGTTCTAGTTAAAATCTTTCAGGAAATTAACACATGTAAGTGCTTTTCATTATACCATTATATAAAGATATAACGTAATAAATTAATAACACAGGATTTTCTAATGATTTTCAATATACTATTTATATAAAGATATAACGTAATAAATTAATAACACAGGGTAAGATTGGGCCGCCTGTGTTTAGTGCATTTAAATTTTGGCAGAGACAGGGGGGGGGGCACATTTTTGTTGGGGGTGCACAATTTCTCTGGGGTGGTGGAAAAAAATTTGGGGGGTGCACCCCCCCAGAAAATCCGTCCTTGATTACAACCTGAATAAGCAGAAGGTTTCGGTGGTGAGGGAATATTCATTAGGGAGCAGAAACGTCTCACAGAAGCTTCTCCTTGTCCAATGGCAATGCTTTCTCATTGCATAAACAAGTCTTCTGTTTACATAAAAAAAATGTTTGACTTTTTTATGTAAAAATGTATAAACCCAACCACATTTATCACAACACAGCCGAAGATGAGAAGCACAACCTATTTTTTCCCAAGGATCATCTTTAAGACTAAGACTAGATTCTCCACATAACTTACAATGACACTTGCTGCAAAAGTTCATTCAGTTATTACACATCAATGAAATGATAAGCAATTATTTTAGGCTCTTCATCTTTGGAACTGCTACTGGTCAGTAGCATCAAAGCTACAAGACTGACCTATTTTTCTTGCTGAAGCAGAGAGATTAGTAACCGACTCACTAGAAACTCACTGGTTGCTCAATACTGTCAACACAAGTTTTCTCTGCAAAGCTAAAATGGGAATACTTCAATATAGTATACTTGAAAGGGAGGTGTAAAAACCGATCTAAATATAAATTATTCAAACCTAGAACGCTTTCAAAGAGGCAGATACCGTAAACCTCCGACTGTAAGCTCTGGGCTTATATACTTTCGTAAGCGATTTTTGATGGGCTTATACAAGGGGAGGGGGGCTTATATACGGGTGGGCTTATACATGGACGATCTTTTGTGTTAGTAATAAAAAAAAAATGAAAAAAAAAATGATTCCAATGATTCCACAACCCGTTACGTCGTTACGGTCTCCGCATACTTCTGGCCTCTAACAGATGTCTCCTAAATAATTCGTCGCCAATCTGGTACAAAATTTAAGATAAATCTTCGGAGAATCTCGTGGTATAATTTTCGTGTTATTAATTTGTGAATTCAATAATATATTTTTGGATTTTCTATCGTGAACATCTGCCTGCCCCGTGTCTCTCGCTACAAATCGTGAACTTTGGGTTTTGAGCATTTTCTCATCGAAGAATTATTGGATTTGTTTGTAACTTTCCCAGTATTATACGTATTTTGCTCCCGTCATTTTGTCAAGTTTTGGTGTATTTTGGACATATATCTTTTAAACTACAGCCATCCGAATTATTTGACTGAACTTTTCTATCACTAATCATGTCTAGCGTCGTTTGTCATGGCAACAACTTCACCTGCGTGTAGTCGTTTTGCGGTTTTGTCCTCGTCTAAAGTAAAAGTTTTCATTTTGGATTCGTGTTTGTGTATCCATTCGTAACAGTTTGGTAGAGTATATCGTGTGTTATTCGTACTTTGTTGACCTTTGTTATTGTACGGATTTTAAATCATTCGCGGCGTCGTTCTCGAATTACCGGCGTGGGCTGTAATCTGTATCGTGACATTTCGTGATATTCAACTTCCTATCTGGTATTATCGCCTTATCATTCTCTACTATACATATGCATATTATATATCAAGTATAGAACTATCAATAGGTATAGAACTACCCAATATGCCTAACATCACAGCAATGGGAACAGTACTAAATTTTGTAGTTATACTAACAATTTTCAGTCTGTGTCTAAAACTAAAGCCATCTCCAACTCATTGTCAACCTGATACTAGTCTGCCTCTAGGTAATATAGCAATTAGCTCCGAACTAGCACGACTGCCTGATCAACTATGTTTTGTCTGGATTTCTACCCGAGATACAAAGTTGAGAAGTTTTAACCTACCAAAATACTATCGCTATGGTATGGACTTACGAATCGCCAACGTCCCAATTCTCAAATCATGTGCTTATCTCGATCTTGTTAGCTGGCGACATTGCTATACTAACCCCGGTCCCGCTCACGTTAATAACAACTCACCTACTTATCTCGGCGGTTTAAAATAACATTGATACAGCAGCTGGTCTACAGTAATAGGCCGTCGTCTAGTGCCCCAAAAGATGGCTAGAAAACGATTTTCGTTGCACACCTCTTTAAACTAAAAGAAAATTACATATTCTTATAGATTAA